CCCAAACCTACTATACAATACATGTTTTTCAGATGAAAATTCTTCCATGTTGAATGGTGAAGTGAATAGACACAATTGTCGCTACTGGAGCGATCTGAATCCTCATTTGGTGATGAAAACACATTCACAAACCCAAAAAAAATTTACTGTCTGGACCGGAATTCTTGGTAATCATATTGTTGGACCATTCTTCATTGAAGGTGATCTCAATGGAGAGACATTCTTCAGTCTTTTACAAGACTGTGTAGATCCTTTGATTACACAAATTTTAGAAAATTATGACAATTCAATAGCAATTACATTCCAGCAGGATGGTGCACCCCTACATTTTGATGTCTGGGTGAGACAGTTTCTAGACGAATGTTTTTCAATGCGTTGGATCGGTAGAAGGGATCCAGTGTAGTAGTGGAAGGCTAGATCGCCTGATCTCACACCGATGGACTTCTTTCTGTAGGGAAACCTGAAGTCGAAAGTGTACTCTACTAAGTCTACAATTCTAGAGGACCTGCGACTTCACCCCGTCGCTAGCTCTATGCTTGCTGTGTTCAGATCTAAGTTCACACTGGTTACTTTCCTGTTCGGGGCCAATATTTGTATTGTATATCAAATTATTGATCGCGAAAACCTATCCAAACACATACACAAAAATATATTGAACATGATATCAAGGAAAACGGCATCATGAGAAATTGGACCATTCAGTTGAGATAAATGTAAAACATTCAATCATAACATTCGATGAAGATAAATTCGATAAAAATACAATATAGTTTTTCCAATAACCAAACGCACAACGATGCAGGTGGCGCTCAAAAAATATTTTGTTTGTCATCCGTTTGTGATACAAAAATATGGTGGACCGGTAGAGCATTATAAACTCGCGTTTTCCAGCTGTAGCAAATCATAACGAAATCACAAACTTTTATTCGAGTGCTCTATCTCTGTCAGCGTTTTGCTTTCATAATAAGCTATAATAAGCTATGATAACTATAATAACTATAAGAAAACACAGTATTACACTAAAAAGATCGGATCAGTCAAGGCTCAGGATATTACAAATTAGATTGTGTCTGATGATAATGTACGATTATGGAAAAAGGAACATTAATTATAGACTGAAACACAGAATGAAAATTAAATGTGTACAAGGTATTTCAGTGATGCATACTTCATGATGTTTGTGAAGAATCATAAAACCAATAAAAAAAACATAAATATAGACCTTTTTTTCGCACGGAGTGAAAAACTTCATTATGTAAGATAATTCTTCGTTTCTGGTGTCATACAAGAACATGTTATTTTAACCAACTCTTGAAGCCAAATCGCGTTAAATCGCATTCGCCGAGTCAGAATTGATTCATGCAATGTTTTTGCGCGTTCAACAAATGTTTTCAGTAAATTCTCTTCTTGATTGATATATGATTCTTCATCGAAGAACAGGACCGTATCCTCTCACTTCTTCTATTTGCAAACACTTTTTTTGCGGCATCAACTGCTAGGTTTTTAGCCGCGTACTTGCTATTTGTTCTTCAAATTTCATTCATTATATCTACGGCTGTCAAAAATGCCATCAGGTTGCTCAACATTCGTTTATCATCACATAGAATTTCTTTCATTGCCCCAGTTATGTTGTCTCCTGATTTCTTCATACTCTGGACATTCTACTGGTATATGTTGTACTGTTAGTACTGTTTGGCATGTAAACAGGTTGTTGTTCTCCTAGGAGCAAGTAGAGGGGTATCATTCTTGTATGGCCTATTCGCATACGAGTGAGAACCACTTGTTTTTTTCTGGTCAATTCCAACAGTGAAATTCGCTTATTCACACTTGGTTTTGAGCATTTTAGTTTTCCGTCAGTCCAAAGATTTTGCCAGTCAGATTTTTCTTTGGTTTCATTATAATTCTCCAGATCTTCTAAGTGGCATGGAAATTTTTAACTCAAGAACTTTCCGTTTTGTGACTGAACTGGGGGATTTTAGTATCCATATAACTACAATGCACTGAGGAAATGTTTTTTTGTTGAAGTCACTCAATGATATGCGCTTTTTTTCATGCATCAATTGCTATTCCTTGTACTGTTCTGGAATGATAACTTGCATTATCTATTACAATCACAAAATTAGGTGAAATAAGGTCTGACATTTGCTCAATATATTAATCAAACACATTGCCATTTATATTTTTTTGGTGGTCGTTCTCAACCCTTTCAATGTGTGTGGTAAACAGTCGCTTTTCTTTTCCAGAAGCCCACTTCAATCCGATAGACCAGACTTCTAAAAATGCTTGACATGAACTTGTAATGTTTTTCTCTTGCCACGTAGTATATCCTCCGTTAGGCCTAGTTTCGTCCAAATAATGAATCTTTCTATCCTCATGTCGAAACATTCCTTAGGTAATATCTCCCTCAGCAAATGATTTCATCATTTTCGATAGAGGGAGATTTTCTGTTTGGTTTCTTACAATAAAATTAGGTTCCTTCAAAGTTTTCCACAACTATCATTGAAGACATACTTTGGTCTTCTTTCAAGGCTTCCATCATTTTGTCGAGTGTCGGTATTTGTTTCTCAAAATTAAATGAATGTACTGTTCTTCTAGTTGCAAGTTGGTAGTTCTCATCAACAGTTTTCCTTTCTAAAGATGGTTTCGGTGATTTCACAGCTCCATTTTTTCTCTCGTTCTTGAATTCTTATTTCGATAATGTTGAAATTCCTGTCATTTGCAAACACATTTCCACCAGAGTATCAACGTATACCAAGAATTTTGGTGTATGAGAGCATCATACTGTCGCAACTCATTACTCGCTTTGTTCATTACGAGAGGATTTATCACTGTTTCACCCAACCTTCATTCATCCAAACCTTAATACAAAAATAAGAAAAATACATTCTGGAATGAACTAACATTGAATAAATGAGAAAAAAGTACAAAGAATCACCAAAAAACTCACATAATACTGCTACCCAGCAGGATTGAAGAACAGGAGATGTGCTGCATTCTAAAAAATGCTCTGGAACCGTTTCTGAAGTGTGATCAATGGATACTGAATGAATTTCAAGAGATTCATATGCTGAGGTTGCAACTTTGCTCCGGTCATCATACTAAGGCAAAATGCTTAATGCGCATCCGTGCAAGTTTGCGTTTTTGGAGATTGTCTTATATTTCTATATTCTGTAATCGTATCAATTTTGATGTCTATGAACTTGGAATATTGAAAGGTGGACTTTTTGTTTTAGAATATTGAAGTTGAGGTTGAAACATTTTGGGTGTTGCATTTAAAAAAAANAAGTTGAAATATATGTTGCTGAGAAAATGATAAGAGGCTGTTTTTATAGAACGATTTTTCCTGAAACCATGCTGGTTGTTGATTTCTACATATTCTCTTATTCTGGAGGCTACAATTTTCTCATACAATTTTGAGAGCGAGCATAGTAGAGAGATCTGTCTATAGTTATCAATCACAGCACGATTTCCTTTTTTAAATAGGGGAATTACCAAAGCCTTCTTAAATTCCTTTGGGAAGTACCCTTGTATGAAAGACTGGTTCATCAAATAGGTAAGGGGATCAATTATAGCACTGATTATATCTTTAACTGTAATTATTGATATTTCATCAATGCCTGTTGACGTCTTATTTTTCATTGATCTGAGAGCGTCATATATTTCAGATTCTAATATTGGGCTGTTATCAAAGGGGTGTTTGATACTGATATTCGTACTACTGGTGCAGGGTAGGGTTAAGTTCTGTCCAAAGTTGGTGGCTATGATAGATGTAACAGTGTTTAAAAAGTACTGAGCAAATAATTCAGATGTGTTTTGCGCATTCCCAACTGAATTTGAATCATAGTTTAAAGTAATGCCTCCCTCCCCAGCATAAAAATGCATTGGTTTCCCTAGTTCGCTATTAATTATTTTCCATATCTCCTTCGTTTTGTTGGCCGCATTCCCAATTTTTTTAGAAAAATAATCAATTTTATTCTGTTTGATTGTTTTTTTATGTTCTCTCAATCTTATTTTATATGTAAGCATGCTTTGGGCATCGATTTCTTCATAAGTGGTGATCAGATGGAACATTTCTCTTAAGCATTTTAAGAATATTATAGGATGGAATTGTGAATACTGAGTGTTTCTGTTTCAAAATATTGAAGTTAAGGTTGTAACAGCTTTCTATTCAAGTATTTCCTTGAAATGTTTTGAATTATCTCATGACGATTTTCCATATTTGACAATATACATTAAGAATAATAATCATTTCGTTGACAGAAAAATCACATTGGCTCATTTTTTTCTATTGGAGAGAAAACTAAAGTAAGCATTTTAATTCATATTATTCAGGTGATAGAGTACCTACTTGAAGTATTTTTCAAAATATCACATGATATGTCTTATTCAAGGAGGTGATTTGTGCAGGTATGGAATACATTGAAAAGTGCTTTTTATAGAAAGTATTGAAATTTAATCAAAACTCAAGAGTGAAAACAATTGTTTTTTTGAATTGAAAAATGCAAGTGTTCCATAATTTTCGTATTCACCATATACATACAACTATACGAAAACATTTCAAATTTGTTATATCAAATCATACTACATCGAATGTTCGAAATGAATACTACATATTACACTTTTCAACCGACTCAATTATGTCACAGCTACTTGGAAATGTTTTATTACTTCGCTGTTCGAAGAAATAGACCATAATAAAACATGGATGCAATAAATTCGAATTCCAAACTGTATTCTCTCTCATCAAACATGTCTGCATATTGTCTAAATATTTCAAAATTACATAATTGTTGAATCATTTGAATTGTACTTCCAGAAATATTATACAACAGTTCTATATTTTCAATTCAATAATACTCGCAGAACTCATACAACTTCTTCATCTTGAATTGTGTAATATGAATCCCCGACCTAGCCCCTGCTATTCCCGCATTCATTATTTCTTCTCTCTTCTCAATATCACCAACAATGGCTTGCATATTGCAGGGATGGCTCAGAGCTGGAATATGAAATATATTCTCAAATCGTAAGTATATTCCCGCTGCCAAAATTGCTAGACATATATCCGATTGCCGTCGATTTCAAACACGAACTGAATAACAACATGAACTGGAGTAATGACGAGTCTTGGAGCGTTAAATGTGGTTATGCTGATTTGTCTACGTTCACGTATACTTGGGATATCCATAGCTGTTATACGGAAACACTGAGTGATTCGAAGACGAGGTGCATTTGCCCCAAAAGTGGCATTTTCGCTTTGTTGCTCGCACTTACTCCAAAGGTAAGTACAATCTACTTATACAGAGTCTTCCAACAGGACCTTCCCAACTTTGACAATAAATAACGGCCATCTTGTTGAAGCTACATCTGTCAAATCAGTTGTCATTTATTCAGTCTGTTTTGCCAAATCATCATTCAACAATACATGAAAATAATACAAGTGTTTTATCAAAATGGCTGTTCTGTTCGGGCAACGCTAACGTACCGTGCTCTTCGCCCATTTTATGATCGCAATTATCGTCCTACCGAGAGGACTAATCGCAATGTTGTAGATAGATTTGAGTCCAATGGTTCTTCGTACGATCAATGAACATTCGTATGTCGACGAAACGCCGAATCTACCGAAAACATCGCTGCTGTCTGTGAGTGTGTGCAGAGGAATCCGAGGCAGTCGATTTCGCATTGCTCATAAAAATTTGGCGGTTTGTAGACCACAACTTGGCGAATTCTGCGTGGTGACTTGGGCCTGCCCCCGTACAAAATTCAACAGACCCAGGAAAGGTAAACGACCATAGACGCTGACGTGTGTTCACTGAATGGTCCATGGAGCAGTGGGCAACTGACTTTTATTTTCATCAGAAAATAATGTTCACCGATGAGACCAATTTCTGGTTGAATGGGTGCGTAAACAAACAAAATTATAGAATTTGGGACCAAACCAATACATATGAGATCCAAGAACATCCAACGTATCCCGAAATAGTCACTGTTTGGTGTGGATTCGGGTTAGCGGCGTCTTCGGTTCATATTTCTTTGAGACCGACGTTGACCATGCCATCACTGTCAACGAAGAGCTCTATAGGTTGATGATCACCAACCTCTTATGGCCTGAATTGGATGATCTAGACACCAACGACATATGGTTTCAACAGTTTGGCGCTACGTGTCACACAGCTCATGCCACATTGGATATTCTGCAAGAGCGATTTGAGGGCGTGGTCATCTCACGTGGAGGTGATGTGTACTGGCCACCGAGATCGTGCGATTTGACCCCGTTAGACTTTTTCTTGTGGGGTTTTCTCAAGTCGCAGGTGTATGCGAATAATCCACAGCGGTTTTCAAACGCATACTCTCGGTTAAATTTAGCTTGATTTATGCGCTAGAGTCATGGTAAATTGGACATTTCCGATGCGCTCCACCCAGAGAAGCCGTGGCTGATATTTGAACGATGTTATATTCCACACATAATGGCATCAATAGGTCTTTCACACGATAAAAAATTCAATGATATCTCACACACACTTTGTTTTATTCTAATTTATAGATAGGAAGCGTTCGACGAAAGATCCTATAGTTATATCAAAATGTTTTGTGCCTTAAAACTATGACAATTGTGGTAAACCTGAATAAACCCTATGTTAAGGATTCATCTTGCTCTTGAAGTGTATACAAGAACGTTCCTATCGAGTAATACTGATCGAAGCTCATGAGGAAGTATTTGAACCGGTAGAGCACATCATAAATTCATTTCTGAATTCCAGATCACCCGAATTCGAAGAAATGAAACTCAACAATTCTTAGATTCAATAAACATTGTCCACCTGGACCTTATCATCATCACTTCATGATCCCCCATTTAGTTTTATCACGTTTTCTATGTCTAAATATCATTCAACGTGAATTGATTTTCTGAGAGAGTTGATGCTATCTTCACAATATTCATTTCCCTTCAAAAATCTAATTTAAATGGGAAACAGTGTGAAGAAAAGACACTTCATGAAAATTTAAAAGCTTTTAATGAAAGCAAAACAAAACGGAGTAGTGTAAGTCATCTACGATAACCAAATTGCGAGATGAAAATACACTACGTAATGAATTAATGTTCATCAATTTTTATGCGACCTCCAAAATGAATTAATTTCATAGCGAAATGACTGTATTTTTTATTACATCATTAATTTTTTTACAGCCTTCATATGAAGAATCCGATTTTAGCCAATATATCCTAATGATAGGATGTTGTCTTGGAATGGTGCTCGCATTATTCACAACTGTTTGTCTTGCGATTTCTTGTATTTTGTTGAAGAAATCGTGTCTAATGGCACTCAAATTACAATGTTCCATATCAATATTTGCCACAGGACTGATGTTCACACTTGCTACAATCACGGGACCACCCCAGGTAAAAATTTATCTCGGAGAAAATTGTACATTACTTCGGATGTTATTGATACATTGAAACAAGAATACGAGTACTTTTTTGAATAGCATATTTGAAATATCAAGAAGCACCGAAAAGTTACCATACTTTTCAATCTCCATTCATCAGAAATTTTGCCGTTAATCTTAGAATACTGAAATTAAACTGGACATTCTAACTCCACCATCAGATTTTTCATTTTGAACTCAGAATTTGAACTCGAAATCTGACAGTTTTTCTTTTAAGTGTTTGACAATATTTCGTGGTACATTTCATTAGTGTGGACTTCCATTGTCTGATATAAATTAAATTGATTTGAAATCCCTGAAAAAATCCATAAAAATTAAAAAGATTAGCTGAAAAAAAACAATTATATCAAGCAAAAAAAATGAAATTACAATGAATAAAATACAAGCAACAACTAGAAATGAAAATTCAAAATTGAAAGAATTCAAGCCAAGTCACCTCAAGACGTTTCGATTGTTATTATCCACAATCGTCTTCTGGTAATAACTGGACTTATTTCTCCATATATTTGAAGGTCATTTGAGTGCTTTCACCTATCCCCTCTTCCCTCTTTCCGTTTCATCGGTTTTAGCGGGAGTTGACCGTTTGAAGGGAGTTGGTCGTGTTTCACTTGTTTATAGGTTTCTATATTTTACGTATATCTACGCTAGCTTGTCTAAATGCGTTGTTGGACAACATATATGTGGCTTCTTCGAATTTTATCCTAAACCAGTGTTCCTCCATGTGGGTGATTTCAGCTTGAGACCACTTGATGTTATGTTGATTAGTCCAAACATGCTCTGCTATTCCTGATTTGTTGGTTTCTTCTCGCTGTGTGTGTTTTTTGTTCTCGGCAATGCGAACTTTCAATGGCCTCTTAGTTTCATCAATTTATGATTTTCCGCACTGGCAGGGTATCCGGTAAATGCAATTCTTGAAATCGCAGTCCGCGTTTGGTGGCCGGGTTTTCATGAGGCTGCCACGGATAGTGTTCCCAGATCTGAAGCAGGTTCTGATGTTATACTTGGACCCAATTCTTCTTATCCTTTTCGACAATCCTCTGATGTAGGGAAGTACAAGTACTGGTTGTGGCGGCTTCTCTTCTTTGTGAGGCTCTTGCTGTCATACTAGCCAAAGTCTGATCCTCCATCACTCCGATTTCATTTCTTGTTAATAATTTTTAATTTTCATATCGTGTTAATAGTTCAATTTTTTTTATTTTTTTATTGTTGCTTGTGTTTTATTCCATTGTAATTTTAGTTTTTTTGCTTAATATATTTGTTCTATTTCAGCTAATCTTTTTAATTTTTATAGATTTACTCAGGGATTTCAAATCAGTTTCTATCATATCAGACAATGGAAGTTCGACTCAATGAAATAAATCTTTCTCTCTCGAAATTTCAATTTCAACCTCGAAATCACGAGTTTGACTAAGATCAAAAAATTGTCATTGATATTAACAATTATTGATATAGTCCTAAGTGTCCATGAAAACTTTTTTTTTAACTGCTTGACAACTTTTATTGCAGACTTATTTTTTGCTGTTCATCACAACCATAGAGGCTTTCGTATTATTAGGAATGTCGAGTCATTTGAGCAAACTATTAATTGTTTTTACTGATCTCATTGAAGTACCAAAACCAATGACCTCAAAATATACAGTAATTGGAATCATCTCAGGTGAGTTCATTGAATGTGTTGTAGCTATAGGTCGTTTTGAAAGTTTTGTCCGTTTTAATGTCATGTGTTTTTGTAGCTCCATATCAATAAATATTTTCATAAATTACACCTTACGATTTGATCTCCACAAACGACACAGTAGCTTCTTCAACAGTGATTTGAATATTACAAGTTGTTTCTTACGCTAATATTTATATACCATAGGTAACAACAATTGAAAGTACCTCCATCAAATTAGCTAAACCTCTACAGTTTTTATATACAATCTATTCAAATCCAGTTGGTCATTCATTAGAATGTTTGAATTTTTAAGTTTATTCCCTTTGCTTCCAAATGATTTAGTTCCAAACCTTCATTTCCTATGTGTACAATTTCGAACTCTTTATTAAAGATATGATTTGAATATTTTGAACTTTTTTTATCATTTATATAGCAATAAAGAACTAAATATCATCAATCAGATTGCAGTAAACAATGGGTTTAAAGCTGGGTTTAATAGTCAAATCACTTTCCAAAAAAGTCTACGCAAAAGCGATTCGAGACGTTTTTTCTATTGATAAGTTATATAATCAAAATCAAAATTATAGAGTTTCAACGTATTTTGGATAAACAACAGAAAAAGTAATACGTTGGGAAAGTAAGTTGAAAATAATAAGGACAAAACATTCAAATTTGAGAAATCAGGAGTAAATAAATCAGGTTGTGGAACGTGTTCTAAGGTATATATATTGGTCAAACTGGCAGAATATTTTGGAATCGCGAAACATCATATGAGCTGTGTAAATAAAAAAACAAGTTTATTGCATTCAAATCATCTTTTAGAAGAAAATCACATCTTTAACGGAGAGTTCCAAGGTTTGAAACTGAATCATTTGGAAGCAATGGAAATTAATTAACTTAAAATTTCCAACATTCTAATGAATGACCAACAGGATTTGAATACTTATGATGTACTGTTTGGAACCTTTGGTGTAGTAATGAATATTGCCGGAGTTTTTTCCCAACACCAAATCGTTATTTTCACACCTCGATACGTGTTTCGATCACCAAGTGATCATCTTCAAGAGGAAGATAAAACTGAGTTTAGATAAAACTGAGTTTTCTCTTTCTCTTGAAGATGATCACTTGGTGATCGAAACACGAGTCGAGGTGTGAAAATAACGATTTGGTGTTGGGAAAAAACTCCAATAATATGGATTCGAATAGATCACCATTATTGAACTTGTTTTCTTAAATAACCAAGAAAGTATCATTATTGATGTAGAAGTGAGGTAATATGCTTCAGGTAATCATAATTGAAGAGGTACCTCAGGTATATAAAAGTCCCAATTGTAATTAACTGTGGTATAAAATATTAAACATGTCGTAATATATTTCTCAAATAAAGTTTGTGGAGATCAAATCGTGAGGTGTAGTTTGTGAAATTACTATGGATCTTCATCAAGTAACGGCCGAATCAATCCGAAAAAATGAATGAATAAATATTTATTCTACTGTGTCATGGTACTTACGGATCGATATAGAATTTTCTACAGAAGTTTGCAAATTTCGTTCCGGAGAAGCCTCGAAGAGGAGTCCCGAAGTGGTTGACATAACAATGATTTGAGGACCCTGGTGGAGACGGACCCATCACAAATGGTGCGTGGGTTGACGGAAGAACTGGGCATCAACTCTCATGCTGTTTTTGATGGTTTCAAACGTATTGGAAAGGCCAAAAAGCTAGACAAGTGGTTACCCCACGATTTGAACGATTGCTCGACATTGTCACGTTTCGAAGTCTGTCCTTCTTTGCTTTTGGACAACCAAAACGATCCTTTTTTGGATCACATCATCACGTGTGATGAAAATTGGATCTTCACGACAACAGAAGACGGGATTGGACAGTGGTTGGACACCGATAAGCAATCCATAGGCGTTACTTTGGCAAAAGTGCACTGATTAAAATTTTGCTTATTTCGATTGAATCAAATAAATATTCACTTTTTTATTACAGTTAAAACTAGACTCATCAAAAAAACTTTTCAAACAATCTGATATTATTCAAAATAAATTGCTTTCAAACGTTTGCTTGCTTTGTTGAAGCGAAAACTAACTAATAACAAATTTATGATAAAGTTAACTTGAATAACAACTACAGGAGAGTAAAAAGATCATCGTGCTTTCGGAAACAGGAGTCATTATCACTGCTTTTCCTTAAAAAAGGGTATTCAACAAATTTATGATAAAGTGAACTTGAATAACAACTACAGGAGAGTAAAAAGATCATCGTGCTTTCGGAAACAGAAGTCATTATCACTGCTTTTCCTTAAAAAAGGGTATTCAAATATGTTCCATTCAGAGGAGCTTCACTTCGTCATCTCAATATCCGCTTGAATACTTTCTTTTTCAGAAAGAATAATTTCTAATTTGCTTTTTTTAGGGCAGCTCTGTGTCGGTTATGATCACAAAATATTTCGGTTTTTTGGATAATATTATTGGAGGTCCTTATTGGCGAAACTTCAAGCTTGTAGTTTTTTCCAAGTGTTAATTATGTTTTTCATTGTTTTCTAGGAAAGGCGGCTGGCGAACAATCAGCTTAATTGAATTGTTGTGTAAATATTCATATTATTTTGATTCGAATTCCATCTAATCACTCACCTGATTCCTTTCTAGTGAATACCAAGGATGTAGTTTTATTTATGATTGTGTATCTGCTTTTAAAATCAGAAAATGTATTTGTCCTATATAACAGTATTGCGTCTCTAATTTTTATCTGCTGCAAACATATGTTTGCAAAAGTTAAGACTGCTTCTCAGGAACTTGTAACACTGTTCCGAACTAGAAAACTGTACACACCTCAGCCACTTTTGATGCTTTCAAAGCTCAGATCAGACCTTCGTTGGAATATAGTTCTTATGTATGGAGCTCTGCCCCTAAGCATACCCTGAACCTGCTGGATTCCATTCAGAAAAGGTTTTTCTGTAGTGCTTGTGTTTTTTCCTTAGAAAAAAAGATCATCGGGACAGAACTTCATTGGTATCATAAAAAACACATAACATTTGATTTTATCAGAAATTCACCTAGTAACTCGACGTATTCTACCTTACGGGAACATCATGACTAGTTTTTTCTCATGAAACGAGCTCATTTTCCATAACAGTTAAATTTCATTTCACATTTATTATTTCATAATGTTCAATTTTCAGGAGTTCCGGTAATAACTGTGTTCGGAAGCCATTTGTCTTATAAAACGATGGATATACAACTGGAGTCATGGTGGATGTTGAAAGGAACATTATCGTTTAATATATTCGTTGGAGTTGCTTCTATGATGTTGGTGTTATTCATATTCCTTTATATTGTCGTTATGAGAAAATTACAGGAACTCATTGGAATCCATGAAAAATACTCCAGAACCATTGAGAGAAGGTGAAAGTTGGTTGTAGTTTTGATTTCATGTCAGAGTTTGTTATAGAATATTTTCAGTTCGAATTGAAGTAACGCATAAACTGACTAGTTGTTGCCCGCGGCAACAAAACTGGCGAAATTCAATACAATCTTCGAACACCCATTTTTCCCCCTGGGGGTGAAAATTTCTGATTACCTTTTTTGATGCTTATTTACGCTATACAAAGAACCTACCTGCATATTTCAAGATTCTAGGTTTAGTAGCTTTGGCTGTATGATAATATGAGAGCGAGCAACTGCTGATTCAATTTATGTTTTCACTTGAAAAAATAGTAACTAAAAAAATATGCCAACTACTGAATAGCTTCGAGAATCTAATTATGTTACCTATAAAGAAATTCGCAAAGAAAAACTATATTGAAAACTATTTTGTATTTTTCTTATACCACATTTCGTAATTATAGTCTTGCAATATGCATTGTTTGATATAAAAATAGGAAATTCCGGAATTAGTCAGCATATGGAATAATAATAATATTTATTTTGGAATTATATTTAGGGACTCATTCAGAACAATGAAAATAAACATAAATAAATCACACAAGCTTAAAAAGCTTGTCCATCACTAAAAATTTGAATTGAAGACTTTGCAACAATAATATAAAAATTTGTAAAAATATTATATAATGCAGTAATAACAATTTTAGTACTATTTACAATAAGAAGTATTTCATTCTAATTAAATATCATTTGGTTTGCATAGAAAGATCTGTATAAAGTTGGGTGTCAACTGTCATTTTAGGAATTTGGCCACAATAGGCATCCCCGGTCATGACAGAATGGCCGTTTCACTTTGGTAAATTTTTTAGTCCATAATATGTGATATGAATAGTTCATTGAGTATTATATACTTTCAGAAAATGTGTAAAGATTTCAATATATTTGAGGCTGGAAATATTCCAAAGTAAAAAAATATTCTTTTGCTAATATAATTGTTTTTTTTTTCAGAGTAGCGTTGCTGAGAAGATCCGGCTGCATTTTCAGTGCTGTGACGTTATTTTCAGTGAGCAGTTTGATTTATATCAATTATCCAAATAAACTATGGAGCGTCTACCAGTTCAGCGTGTACAATGTTTTTCTGGTAAATATATTCGTGGATGTTGATATAGGAAAAGTTAAAATCATCGCCATTGTGAAATACTCAAGCGCGTCAGATTAAGATATATATGGTTCATCTTTATGTTTTAGACGTGCTGTCTCATAATCTGACGATTATCTAGAGGGATTCACCTAATCTGACAAAAACAATATTTTTTTTATTTTTTTAAATTCATTGAACCTAATTAATTGAAAAGCTCAAGAATTATCATGCAAATAAATAAGTGTATGTTTTTTAAGTAGAATACTTGTATTTATAAGAAAATAATTTTTTTTAAATGCTCAAAAAAATTTAATTTCTTATAATCAATTGATTAATTAATGAAGAAAAGAGAAATGAAACTTTCTATGTTTTTTACCACTTTTATTTGTAACTAACGTTACTGCAATTTCGTCCTATAGGGACATTTTCAAACTTATACAACATATAAGGACATTTACAAACTTATACAATACAAAAGTTTGAAAATGTCCATAAAGGACGAAACTGCAGTAACGTTAGTCACAAATAAAAGTGGTAAAAAACATAGAAAGTTTGATTTCTCTTTTCTTCTTTATGATTTCCTACTACGTAGTAACGGCTACATACATCAATTAATTGATTAATTAATCATCATCTTTATCACGAACGAGTCTCTGTGATTAGCTGTGATGGCGTCGTGGCAACAGAATTCAGAGTGGGGACGGAGTGAGAGAGTAATAGATAGAGAAAAAGTGAATAGAGAATAGAGGAATAGAAACTCGTAGAGGGAAATATAGGTATCACACAGCTGAACACTTTAAACTTTATCGACGAATTTTTGTTATTTCGGCTTGCGGAAATCGTCAGATTATATATTTTTCGTTATCTTTGAATTATTTTCTTCAAAATAAACAAAAAATTAGCTACGCTGGAGAATGTCGAAATGACGTTATTTTTTCGCAATTTTGCTGCCCTCCTCTTTATGTCACTCTCAAATTGTCAGATTACTGGAATATACACTTTTTAGCAGGTAATTAACTCACCCTACCTTAATCTGACGCGATCGAAAATTTCTGATGATCAATTTTTTTACTAATCTGATTCTTTATCCCTCACAGGCGGCCTTATATATGGGGCTCATATTTGGTGGAGGTACTTAACCGGGTACAAGGTATCCCCCTGTATATTAATATGTCGCGCTTCAGTAAATTTCGAAATCCCTGCTTGGGCTACATTTATAATGGCGAAAAACTACTTATAAAAGTATATTCTTTGCAATTGTGATGAAGAAAGTCGAAAAATGTAAGAGTTTCAAGTCACAATTCACAAATTGACAAATAAAAGGTCATAAATGCTTTGGCACCCACCTATAAAAGTGAAAGAAATGTAATTTATTTTCCAGGGACTCGTGCTTCTATTCTGTTATGTTATTAAGGCAGAAATCCAGTTCCAGAGAATGTTTGACACCAAATCCGAATCGTCACCCAACAAAAAATTCTTCACTTTCGACTCAATGAGCAAGCCGTTGAATTGTGAGTATAGATATCTCGTACAGTAATTAATTTCATAGTTAATTCAAAAAATGGAAGAAGTGATGGAAAAAAAATGGAGGTCATGTAAAGATAACATATATTCAGTATAAGATTACTGATAATCTCAGTTCAATTATTTTCGCAAATTTCACCTTTTTTTCAACGATACTTCATTTTGAAGTGACTTGGTTCATGTCGACAGTTTGGATCTTCTTTAAAAGTGGAATGAACTTATTTGAACTGAGGCAGATATATCTCTAATCATCTTTTCGCGTGGGTCAAAGCTATCGAGACAAATGCAATTAGTGTCTTTGAAAGTTGCAAAATGAATTGACTGATGTTTTCCACATTGTAATCAGATATTGCAATTTTAATATATTATTTCGCAATTGATCTTTCTCAAACGTTGAATGTTTTTGGGGTATGTAATTATCTATTGTCAACAAAACTTCGTTAACTGGAGATAAAATCTGCTCAGAATGATATTTCATTGACCACGAGAGATTTGGAAAATCACAAAATCTTATTAGATTTGTTATATTTTTTAATTGAAAATTTCAGCCAACGACTTTGTTGATGAATATCGCTTGTGAATGAACATAAGCGATCGTTTTCACAACTCCTAACATGTATTTCAAATCCCTCAATACTTTTCTAAATACAAAGAAATGAATTAGAAAGAGAACTTATTTTTACAAATCCTTGGGTACATAACAATCAACTTCTTCTCAAACAAATACGCTTCCTACCATTTATTAACATATGTTCAGTGATCTGTTGAAGTTCATATAAATTGAAAATATATTCAAATGAACAGACTTTTTTAAACTTTCGAAATTTAATTTTTCTCACTTTGTCCTTTGAAAATATTATCTTCATGTGATCGAGAACATATCTTTCCATTCTCTTCCGTTTGTATATTTCTCCACCCATACACTTTTATCATTTTCAATAACTTACAGTTTCAGTTAAACTGACTTGAAGATTAAGATTGTGAGATTAACTCATATTCTCAAGTGAGACCATCATTTTCAGTTATAACTCAGCAAGAGGCGGAAGTAGAAAACGAATCCAACCCTCACTTGAAAACCGACCTCCATCATTTCACTTCATTAGGGCGTGACACCTCCAAACCTTCATTGACCAGCAAATCACAGAGTATCGCTGCTACTTTCGAAAGTTGCCTCAACACAACTACCAGTTTCTGCGACAGTCAAGTCGACATTTCATCGACATCACGAAGTATTCAGCAACCGTCAGTAGAGCTCTATCCTAACAGTCCTCAAATTTATCGGAATCCTCCTTGTGTATCCAAAGCATGTTCTCCCGATATTTTATCCAACAAAGTATGCGTGGAACTGGATCTTGTTGCTTCAAGTCTGAAGACCACAAATAAAATACCCGGAGTATCGAGTACACAACCCACCAGACATAATGTTCCCGCGCCCATAGTAGTACCTACTCCAGACGAAGCCATTGCTACTATTTTAGAGACAGAAATCATTACTTTCCGTCCGCTCCACCAGTATCACGTGAGAACACAACCTGATGGTCACGATGGATGTATTCTAGCTGAGACTACATTGGAAACTGTGGAAGAAGTTAACGAAGTCGAACCAGACACTCCAATTTGTACAGTTAATGTTCAACCGTTACCAAGTGTAAGTGTACAACCGCCAGATAGTGTTCAACCATCAGTTAGTGTCGTCCTACCGATAGACATTTCACATTCTTCGGTTAGTTTTGATGTAGAAAGTACTAGTGGGGACGAACCAAGTTCAGCACGTAGTGATAAACTTGATGGTATGTTGGATAGTATTAGTCAAGATTTAGAATATTTACTCAATAAAACTGATGTGGTGCCAAGTTCTACTTTGAAAAGAGCTCCCAAGTCTCCAAAACATGATATTTCTCAGGAGATACTCAACGAACTTGCCGATTTACCTGAAAGTGTCACACTAAGGACAAGTTGTTGAATGCAAAATGAATAGATATATGAAATTATTTTCAAATTCGTGTCATTGTTTTTACAAAATATACCTTATCCACAGTGAGGTGGTAAGGCAGGTATTTATGTCCTAATGACGTTCATTCATGGATAGATAACACAAATGGTGAAGCTCACCATTCAGAAATTCATTACTAATTTTAAGAGAAGTCTGTGATTTAGTTTTGTCTAATAAAAATATTATCATTCATTTTAATTTAGTTTCATTGTGAAAATGTATGTTACCGAAAATCGCATCAATATTGTTCATTAGTATGTTCATAGAATGGCAAAATTAGTCACTTGTTATGAGGATTCAAAATGGACTTGCTGTTTAATTAATAAATTCGTATTATTTTTCAAAACTATTTCACATTCAGTTCAAAGAACCACATTCCATCATTCTGAAGAGATTCATAAGTGTGAGAGCACGATAATCAATTAAAAATTATTACTTTTGTGAACTCGCGAAGTGGAATTGTAAATTTCTGAAATGGGGTAAAATTGATTCATTCGAAATTTTAATTTAAGAGTCTTCGCTCATTCGAATCAAAAAGAGTACAATGAATGCCATTCGATACTCATTTATTACATTTTCATCAACTCAAATTTTCTATGAAGAAATTCTAGATCCTTAAAAGGCTACTTGATTACTTGCAATTGAATAATCCTTTGATTCCAGATCAATTTTTCATCCATTCAGTAAAAATAAAATTGAGGAGCGTTTTAGTCTAATCAAGTTATTATAGTCACTGAAGAGTTCAATAAACTGTGAACTACTGTGAACTACGAAGTTATTTCCAATGATGTTTTTTCACAATTCCTATAGAGTTCTGGACGTACTCAATTCTCAGTTCAAAAACTATCCAAGTACATGTGCTACCATGAAGATTGGCTGGATGAGATAATTTCATAGCAAACAAAAAATGTTTTACTCGACAGTGACAATTTGGTCTAAGTGCTTGATCCAGCTTACTTCCCTTCGCCTGTTATTGCGTGCTTGGTAGAGAATATGTGCTGATCTAGTATTTTGGAGTCAACCTATTTTCAGTGAACTGAGTTGAAAAAGGGCGATTTGTGATATTTTTGTCACCGAGATATTTCACCGTGATAATCATAAGAGAAATAAGTTTGAGGACCCATATGCATGGCAAGGAATGTTTTACTTTTTCCAGTCTAGGATTTCATTTATTGAAATACTTCGTGGAGTATATGAATAAAGTGGCCCTAGACTATGAAAGTTATCAACAGGAGACAAGCTGATCATTTTGATGTTTTGTGATAGAATACTTTCTAGATCCGAGGTACATATTTTACAAATCATTCAAAAATTACTCATATATTTAAATAAATAGCACAGATCACTTATGCGGAAACTTTTTGACTTTTCGTTATTCCATCAATTTACAGTGTCACACATATTGCTCGCGAAATATGGAAGTGTTTTTTATTAATAGATATAAATTAAAATTTGAATCCGCAGTTAGTTTGTGCTTCAAAAATGAGTGTACAACAGTCTCTTTTTTTGTCATGTTCTACTCTAAACCTGTCAAATTTTACATTAGTTTTGGAAATTCTTAAAAAAATCNTTAATTTTCGTTAATGTCAAGTTATTGCGTTTAATGAATCGAGTTTTCTTGTGTACAGGTTTTCGTACATACCTACATAATTAACAAATAAGATTTATGTACAATATTATCCACACTAGACAAAGTGGAAATCGTTCTTTTATGAAATGAAAATGTGCCACATCGAGATGTTGCTTGTATTTTCAATCATCGGCATCCAGAAAGAAATATTTACTTCAGTACCGTGGGAAGGATTTTGAAAACATTCAAAGAAACCACATAATCCAATGAAGCATAATGAAGAAGAACAACAGAAAAACTAATATTAGGAGTATTGGTGAAGAAACAGGGGTTGGCAGAGACACTGTGTGAAGAATTTTGCACAAAAATAAATTCCCTCCCTAAAAGTCAAAGTTGATACGCACTCTTGAAGTAATAGATTTCGATATTCGAGTAGGATTTTCTTTTTGGTTCCAAGGTGAGAGAGAAAATGATATCGCCTTCCCCTACAGGGGAAGGTACAGTACCATGGAAAGGATATTGAAAACATTCAAAGAAACGACATAATCCAGTGAAGCATAATGAAGAAGAACAACAGAAAAACTAATATTAGGATTATTAGTGAAGAAACAGGGATTGGCAGAGACACTGAGTGATAAATTTTGCACAAAAATAAATTCCATCCCTTAAGGCAAAGTTCATACACACTCTTAAAGTAAGACAAGGTGAGAGATAAAATGGTATCGCATTCCCCTACAGGGGAATTCGATATCAGTTTAGTTGGTTAGTTTCCAAAATTGTCGCTGATGGTCCAACAATAATCCAAATTCGGTAATAGACTGCCAATATTCATTCAAGACAAATGTGTGGTGTGTGAGTTATTACACAACCAAATAATTGGACCATATTTTTTTCAGAGAAAATTTAAACGCAAACATATACAGAAGTTTCATTTTGAATAATTGTCTGAAGGTTTGGAGAATCTGCCTCTGAGTGTGGTATCAGATTGACGGGACACCGATCCACCAAACGGTAAAAGGGAAACAGTGTCTCAGTCACCTTTTTAGGGGCGAAGTGATAGGGCGAGATTGGGATGATTAACCACACAGATCATCGGACTTATCTACGGTGGACTTTTTTCTTCGGTGTTATCTGAAACAGGAGGTGTATAATAACATACCATTTGGAAACGAGGAACATTTAGAGAATATCATTCGGTAGTGTTGTGCTAACATAAATCTCCGATTCAATAAAAATGTCACAAAATCTGTGAATGGAAGGACATATTCATATAGAATGGAAAGGACGGCATACTGAACGATGAATTCGAGTTCTTTACAATATTATTGAGATAGATCAATGAATTTTATGATGTTTTGTTGTAAATTTGGTTATAGTTATTTTAGTTTAATGCTGTTTACATGCAACAGTCACACTGTTCGGTGTAAACTGCATCAAAATATTTCGAACTCATCTCTAGCTAATGGGATACAAATCTGCTAAAAAGAAGAATAGGAGTATAATAAGAATGAAGAGGAATACGTTTATTTGATTAACGTACATACATTGAAAATCCGAATCAGTTCAACATTGAAATAAAGAAACTAAATGAACTTTGCAATAATAAAAACGAATTTCTGGAGGTGCATCTATTTCTTCACCTGGTAACAGGCTAACGCGGGTATTTTCTGGGTAAGATATGACATTGAAGTCTCGTATTCATCAAAATTCTGAAATTTTAATCATGTTTCGTTCCAATCGCTGGAGCGAAAGATTCGAAAAAATAAATAAAATTAGAAAAGAGAGTCCAAGTTTCAAGCATGGTTATAAAATTGGAATCTGGGCATCTTTTCACTTTGAAATTTTTTGAAATTCCATAAACCTGACTTCTTGAGGATTTTTAAAAAAGGATTCAAGAAACAACGGCAAATACAAATCTTAGCACATATCAAGGTGAGTACAAATTTTCTCACACTTTCATTTCAAATATACTATCGTTCAATTTTTGAAATACTTCTGTATTGAGAATGCTAAAAACAAATCTGATGGCCAATAAATTTATCGTCAAAATGATCTTAATTACTAGATTCTGCTGAAAAATATAGAACTTTTTTATGACGTTTTACCACCGATAATGAAATGAACTCGTTTTGGCATTGCTCAGAACAAACAGAAGTGATAAAGTAGTCCTAGAAGAATTGAAAAGAAGACTTTCTCTTGAAGTGAAAACATAAATTGTCAATTTTTTCCATTTTGGAGAAGAAAGTTGAAAACATTTGTTAAAGAAAACAATATTTTCGAGAAAGACACCGAGAAATGAATTGGGAAAAACAGAAATTGAGTTATGAGATGAGAATAGGAAAAGGAGGAGTGGAATGAGTGATAACTTTATCGACTGGTCATCAATTAGATGATTATCTCAAAAAAAACGAAATTGAAACATTGGTTTGGTAAAAGAGTACTAGGTAAACTAAAAAGTCATATTTATTGTCAATTCCCAGTGAATAATGATGAGGAAGAGAAGCTGAGAATAGATTCAATTATTGATATTGGCTTCATTTCCTTCCCTGTAACTCAAGTTTTGAATTATCCAACTCCATTGGCATTTTTCATGTCCTTGTTCCCAATGATCGACCGTCTTCTAATTAAATTTCAATTAGTTACCAGCTATCACCTACAGAATGAACCATTTTATGTTAATCAATAATTATGAATCAGTTTTGAACGAACGCCATTACATTATAAATAAAATTATCCTCCATAATGTAATCCTTCATGAAACTCCCAAACTATTTTACTTCTCCTATTGATCTGAGAAGAGTTGGATAATTGAATTTATCATTCATGCTGACCATAAAGTCCAGTATAATCGTGGATCACGTCGTTCAGAAGCTTTAGCGCAACTTTAATTGAGTTTATCAGACTTCAAACAGTTCACCCCTTGAAAGTTTGATAATCAAAATTGTAAGTATAGCCATACGTTGGTATAGCCAACCTGTAATCGATGACTGATTGAAATATGTGAAATTTTGGGTTTGAGAGTTTGTTCGATTTTTTTTTCCTTTATATTTTTTGTTCAAAACCTCCATCTCCATTCACATGCATTTAGTTGACTTGAACTTAAAATTTTTTCTGTTCATTCATTGTGGTGTACATAAAGTAACCTCATTTTATATGATATAACAATTTTGAAAAATAACATTATTGTATTTATACATCTTTCACTACTCGTTGATTTTGTTGACCAGTTTATATATTTTCTAATATTTTTGTTTCAAAATATATTTCTGTTTTTTACTGTTTTTACCTTCAGGTCTATGGAAGAACTGAATAGTTTAATGAGTATTTTATTTTAGATTGTGGCATTATCACAAATTTACTCAGGGAAATATAATGGTACGGGTCTATTTCATGAAATACCCAGTGGAAATCGGAAATCTCCTATGTTATGCACCTTAGTAGTTCCCCTACTAATTAACTGAATATATTATTCATGTTCATCGTAAACCCATTCCCTAATATCCGATATATTAATATAACATGGTCGTTAAGACCTCTAATTGGGAGTTAACAGATCAATATGGAGAAGCTGGTTCACGAAAT